ACGGTGTTGAATAAAAGTCAACTTAACCATAATTCTAGCATAAACTAGACAAAACCCAGAAATCTCTGCACATGTACCTCGTTAGAATCTCCAAACCCTTAGCCTCATAGCCTTTAGAAAATTACAAGACATCATCAACACGCCGTAATTTGCTTATATATTCTCTAATTCAATCGACATTGGCGTCCCCGAAAGCAGACAAGCCCGCGCCCCACTCATCGTCGCTCCGTGTTTAGACTATTATTAGTGGCGAACATTATATTCTTTACCAGCAATTGCTACAACCATCACTAGAACTTTTAACGGCACTAGACGTAGCAGCAGTTAGGGGGGTAAAGATGGTTCTAGGGTAAAATCGGAAACTTGAAAATTGAACCAATGGGAATCAATCCGATTTCAGGTTCTAAGGTATGCAAGGTAGGTTACAGGTTCCGAAAATTGGGGGACATATTCCGACAGATGGGTTCCAGATTCCAGTTCTAGAGCCTGAAACAAATCTCTGTATTTTTCTTGTTCCATATCTTCGCGCGATCTTGCGGCATTCCATAGCGTCCAATGATGAGTGTGTAAATTGAAGCCACTAGCATAAGCTTACATTTCTGGCAATATCAATGTCTGAGGCTTTTACTTTGTTAATATTTCATATTTTTTGTGTGTCTAAATATGAGTTGTAATCGGTGGATTATAGCAAATTATGGTAATTAAATGTGATGATTCACTATAATTGTTCAGTCAAGAGTACAGGTGGAGCCTAGGTAGACCCTGGAACTTGTAACAGGGTAGATTAGAGGTTCCTAGATATTGAGAGTATGTTACAGATTCCAAAAAATAAAAAACATGTTCCAACGGATAGGTTTCAAGTTTCAGGTGGAACGTGGATGGAACTTGGAACCACTCAACCCCAGTAGCAGTTGTGTGGTTGTTACTAGATCTTTCAGCAGCGATTGCAATTGATGCTAACACCCTTAATAATCGCCGCTCAAAGCCAAATCTCTAGTAGTTCCAACGAAATTATTGTGCATTATCTTTTTAAATAATGAGTGTATTGTTTATATCTCCAAAGGATGAGTTTGTGTTAATCAAAGTGAAAATCAATCTTAGTAAGTTGCTAAAAGAAGGAAGCAGTCAATAAATTTTCATTTTGAAACTTAGCAGAGACAAGGACCCATGATCTTATCATCGTACACACATTAATTGGCAATTCTAGTCCATCCACAATAATTTCTCATTTAATAATTGAATCCCAATCTTCATATATATAGAAGACATCATTTATGCATGAATCTGGTTGTGCTTCATTGGCAGGTTCATGTTGATAATTATGTATGGAGTTGGACAAAATGAACACTTGTAATCCTCTCGGACATACATAATCATTCAAAGTTGCATTGGAGTGCTTGTGGAATTAAGAAGGGATGAATCTTAATCTAGAAACATAGTCATTTTCAATTTTGTTTATCCTTTTGACAATATTAGAATCCATTTCCTAAAAGGGGTGGCTTGTATCGCTCATAAAAAGTTGGCCAATGAAAAATACTTACATTATCAACATAACAACAATTTATGCCTATACATTTTCTTTGATGATGAAAATCGGTTGGTTTCATTTATTTTGTAAATGATGCAAGCAATCATTCTTAAGGAAATGTTTTCGAATCGTTGATTTTCATGAAAAAAAGCAACTCTAGACGTGATAAATCTAGTAAATAATCATCTTGATCTCTGACAAAAAAAAATCATCTTGACCGAATCTGTAATCCTTATTAACAGATTCTTTTTCTATGGTTTTCATGATCAAACTATACGTTACCTCTCCACTGTTCATGTGGTTCCATGTTTTAAAAAAGGGAAAAAGCCATAAAAAACCCCAAAATATTTCAATTGTAACACATTTACCCTCAACCTATTTTTGCAACATCAAAAACACCAAACTATGTCCATGGTGACACATTTACCCTTTTAACATAAAAAACCCCAAATTTATATTTATGTGACACATTTACCCGTCACATGTTTATGTCAACTTTGTTTGCTTTCTAGCATCCATTTAGACAAATTTTTAATGGTACTCATTAACGGATATTTGATGAAAGGTAAATGTGTCACACATGTACAAAATTTTCATTTTTGGTGTCACAGAAAAAAAGCTTAGGGTAAATGTGTCATAATAGGCATAGTTTAGCGATTTTGGTGGTTTTACCCTTCAAAAAACGTTATTGAAGCGCGATGGCCGCACCAGGTACTATTTTTACCCAAGGCTTTGCTACTTCAAGTCTTGTAGAATAAAATTAAGAGGGTTTTTCTTGATTAAGCCCGTGATTGATGCTCAATATTAGTGTTATTGCATGATAACCACTGCACATTTTAAATTGTTAGGTCCAAAATCAGGATATTTATTTGCTGCTTTCACATCATTTGGATAAAGCAAGTTTACTAATTTAGTAGGAAAGATAGCAAGAGGTGGTAGGCTTCACAGATGCACATCTTATCTTAACGTGTCAGGGCTCGCACGCCTTATACCCTCCTATTCTCTTTCTATCTTTGTCTTCCCAAAAGAGATGGAATATCCTCAAATTGTTTTACATCATGCGGATTTCAAAATCCGAACGATACATAAGATGAAGCCTTTTAAGGTCTTGTTTAGATCCTTGGAACGATAAACTTAACGCATCAAATAAAACGTGGGTGATGATGGTCCTTGATTCATAACATCACATCTAGCTTATTAATCATGGCAAAGACATAATTCCCTATAAATCAAGGCATGGTCAACATGGATAATGATGGCACATAGCAATTATTGAGGAAAAATGAACCAAATGCGGCAAGCTCGTATCCTCCACAGGCCCCCTTCTGTCCATTGGCACTCCAATCTATATTCTCCCTTGACATTATTTAAAGTATTTCTCCGAAATTTTTTTCTTCAATTTAAAAATGCCATCTCGACCTTGAAGGTAACATGAAGTATGTTTATGTGTTAATTTATGCTACATGCATTTCTAACTACATTTATTCATCATGCTAGATAAGTTTTTTCGTCTTTATGCTAGACAACCATTTAAAGATAGCTCTATCTTGATTAACCCGCCTAACATTGAATTCATGTTAATCCGCATATCCTCGTTATTCAAAAAATTACGAGACCAAATATCTGTCTCCCATTGAAGTCTTAAAAAATGACTAGTTAAACTTGGTCCCACCATATCTATTGTTGTGTGCATCCAAAATCCTCAGGATAAAGGGGTCTGCCCAACCTCCTATCCACATCTTTAGTCTCTATCCAACATGCCATTAGGTATGTGTCGAGTGTACAAATCCCCTCATTAATCACATAATTTCCATAGTCTCGTAATTTCTCCCTCTCTTCCCTTTTTCTTACAACCATAACCGCAGTTGAGGAGTTATGTTCGGTTAAATTCCATCCAAATACACCACATAGGATGAACATACCCGATTCGAGACGGAACTCGATATGGCTTATGGTACGAGTTATGAGTTTAGGGTTTTTTTATATAGTATTTTTTTTTTGTCTGTTATACTCTAACTCTCAACTCACTCTCAAACTTGTCCACCGCCTCTTTGCAGGCGTGAGAGTCAAAATCCACATTTGAAACTAAACGTCCCCACCTCTAATCTCTTCTCGGGTGGCCAACCCCACTGGTTTCTTATATAGTACAATCCATAGCAAACACGATGGGAATAGTAACAATCGCATCGAAGGAACAAGTTGCCGAGCAAACTGTTGAACGGAACATTAAGCATTTAAGCTTAGAAGTAGTGACTTGGTTGATGTACACCAGCTACAACCAAAAAAAGCTCAAATCGTATTCAGGACGTACCAATCGCCAAACCTCAATAATTATGGCAGAACTTGAAAAGAAAGAAAAAACCAAACCCTAGAAAGCAAAAGACAATCCTCGGGACGAGGGTTTTGAACAAACGCCAGCTCGGCGATAACTCTAGCAGGAACATGACAAAGCCCCAAGAAATCCCCAAACCCCTTAGCCTTAGAAAATCACAAAGGCGTCATCAGCACGCCGCGTAATTTGCTTACACATGTTCTCCCAAAAATCCAATCGACATTCGGCGTCCCCGAAAGCAGACAAGCCCGGGCCCCACTTATCGGATAAAAATCCCACGTGTCGGCTCCTCGCGCGGGCCCCACCGTCAATTCGCATGATTGCCGTCGATGAAGGACCGGGGGAAAGCATCCTCTCCCCAACCTTCATCATTTATCCACACTCGGTGGTGGTGGCCGCGGCAGCGAACCAACCACGAGTGCCACCTGCTTTTGTCCCTCGTGGTCCCCACCCACCCTCGCATTATTCGCATGGGGACAACATTCGTATCCGAAATAATTTTAATAATTTATAATTTCACCAAAATAATTTCCCATTTCTTTAATGCCAGGGTCTTTTTTTTTTTTCTAATTTTTATATAGGATTTTCGAGAATGAATCGCCTCGTGTGCAATGTGATGCCTGAACTTTGACCCAATATTCAATGCAGTCTCTGAATTTTTCATTTGGACCACTTTTGGCACATGTTCAATGTAATTTCCGAGCCATATGAAAATATTCGATGTAATCTCTGATCTTGAATTAATGAAAGGTTTACGATGAACATTTTCATATAGTTTTGGGACTAAATTGAATATATACAAAAAGTTCAGGGACTACATTGAATAAATTAAAAGATCAAGAATTACATTGCACGTTGGATCAAAGTTCATGAACTATTTTTCCCAATCGCCTATCCTAAAAAAATAAAATATGATCAAAAAACAAAAATCCAGATATTCGAGTATATCCACATGGGCCAAACCTGATGAGCATAGGTCGACGTGGATCCTCACTGTTCCAAAGGCCGAGATGCGCGTCCGCCAATGCCCTCGCGCCACGTCGCGACAAAGAACCCATTTTTTCCCATGTGCGGAAGAGGTGGCTGGTTATTCCACGTAGGATATATCATTGTTCTTTTCCATGCTTCCCAGGTATAAAAAGAGCGCCTCCCGATCGATAACCATGTTGGTATCGTGTCAAGCTTAGCTTACCCTCTCTCTTTCGTGTTGCGCCACGTGAACTTCAGTAAGAGAAGCACCGCCATGACGGCCGAGGAACAACATGTTCCGGCGAAGGGTGGCCGGAGAATGACGTGGGAGGACCGGGACTTCGAGTTCCCGGAGCAGCCGGTGGCGAGCCTGTCGGACATCGACGAGTTCCTCGAGGACGGTGGCGGCGGCGGCTGCGAGAGGTCGAGGGGGAGCTTCAGCTCCGAGGAGGACCGGGAGATGGAGGTCTTGGAAGGTGATGAGGAGAGAGAGGACTCTTGCGGCAATGCGGAAGAGAGCAAGAAGTTTTGGGAGACCCAGCATCAGCTTTTACGGGTGATATATCGTCGAGTTTTGTCAGGTTTTCGACCAAATATGCATCGTTTGTGTTGTCGATTAATTATGTTTGAATCTGTGTTTTTCAGGGTGTGTTGTGTAGGAGCACCTCGACGGAGACGAGGATAAGGAATGCGACGAAGGAGGCTTTGAAGGAGGTACGGGCGGCGGCGGGGATCCCTTGCGGCTGCTACCCATCGACGGCCGCTGCCGATTGCAGGAGCTGCTTGATGAGAGAAGTCTGCGTTCGCCTCCAAAGTGCAGGCTTCAACGCCCGCATCTGCAAGTCCAAGTGGAGGAGCTCCTCTTATATGCCGTCGGGAGAGCACACGTTCGTGGACGTGGTGGACGACTCAGGAAGCCCCAAGAAAGGAGAAGTCCGGGTTATCATCGAGCTGAACTTCAGGGCCGAGTTCATGATCGCGAGGGCGTGCGGCGACTACGACTGCCTCGTGCAGCGGCTGCCGGAGGTCTTCGTCGGGAAAGTCGAGCGGCTCCAAGGGGCGATCAAGATCTTGTGCGCGGCAGCCAAGAAATGCATGAAAGAGAAGAAGATGCACATGGGGCCGTGGCGGAAGCACCGCTACATGCAAGCCAAGTGGCTCGGCGCGTGTGAGAGGACGGCGCCGCTCGCGCCGGCTGGGCTCTCGGCGATCGGGTTCTTCTCCGACGGGCGGCGGAAGCTGCGAGCGTCGATGTTGACGCTGGATTTGCACGAGAAGTTGCCCGACGCGCATCGCACGGCCATGGAAGTTGTGTGACATATGTAGCTAATCAAGACGTTTTTGGCCTTTTGTTTTGTTTGCTAAATAGAGCGAGACTTACCTTTCGTGTACAGAATCCGGCTCGCAACACAAATAAAAGAAATAGTTGAGAATGTTCTCGCACGTTACTTAATTTCGAATTATCTAATTTCATTATTCATCCTAACATAAATATATTGAACTGTCTGAAATGATCGTGACAAATTTACCTCGATATACGAATAAGAAAAGTGCAGGATGTGGAAATCAAGACGTAGTAAATATGGATGATCTTGTACTATTAAAGTTCAACGGGTGGCGTAGCCGATTTCAATCCGAAATGATAAAGCAGTTGTGTAAATAATCATATATATGATAAGTTTGATAATGTTTCCCGTACAATTTAAGTAAAACAAGATTTTTGTCATCTGGACTTTCGCTTACGATGTGTTGGGTTTTGTATTTTACGCTCATTTTTCTCCTATATATATCACGATTTCCTTTATAGAAAAAATATTAGACGTGTTTTGAATTTGGCATAGACGGGTCGTGTCATAAACGGGTCGACACGACAAAAATTCGCGTATTTCGCAAGTTGATCTGTTTAGACACGAATAAGCCAATTTAAGCTAATATTTAACCTGTCATTTTATAAACACAACACGTGTCAAATAAGTTTACTGAAATAGCATTCACTATTAAAGAATCTATAGTAAAATAAAAACTTATTTATGAATGCAACGGTAATGGAAGACAGAAGAAAAATCCTAACTTGAAAAATACATTCTAGATGTAATGTGAGGTGAAATTACCCATATACTAAATGCATGTCGAAACGTTTTAAACTTGTTAACACCAATAATCATGTATAGACGTATTTTTCTGTTTTTATCATGTACACAAGCCAACATATAGTTATAAATTGATTAACTTATCGAGTCATGTTGACACATGCCATGGTCACGCATTCGATCATTGCGCTAGTTGTGACGCGTGACTGACTTTATCGGGCATGTTGCGAATCATGTCCAAGCGATCCGACCCGTTTGCTAAATGCTTGTGCTCGAGTTAACCATATTGGCATTATATCCCTATTTTCGACGTCAATATTGCATAGACCGCCACCCCTAATGTTTGGTCATAAATCATTTTTTTCATAAAGCATCAAACGGATAATTTAAAACAAGTGGTCATGCCTAAAATCTATGGGCTCCCTGCTCCAGCCGGTGAAGGGTTTTTGCAAGTTTCGAACTATGCATACTAAAGCAAATGGCTTGGGCCAATCCTCAGAAAGAGTTTCTTGGGCTCTTTTGTCATTTGTTGAATTTATACTTTGAATTCATCGATATCTTTTTTGGGCCAATTGCTGGTTGTTGGTACTTTTGGGCATTTATTATTTGGATTTGTATAAGAGCGCCCTCGTTAAGCTAATTAAAGATAAGATCGCCGAGTGCAGTCGCCTGGTGGTAAAAAAGTTACGCTATTTTTCATGAGGTCACAAATTCGACCCTTGTCGTGAAAGAACCTTCATCAAGTTTGTGTCTTGGATATTTGCAACCTCATGTGGAGAGATTTCCTATCTTCTTGTATGTTGAAGGGATTGAGATGACAAGCCTGTTCACTACGAGTGGATTTATGACTCAAAACGAACAATTCGGAACGAGTGTGAGACTCGTATGGTAAAGCCCAAAGGGGGAATAGTTTAGCCGGTCGCATTTGCCCACTCTTTTCACTTATAAAAAGAAACTAACTAAAAATAGGAGGGAAAAAGCCATAGAAAAATCCATCAAACTATGCCTACCGTCATACATTTTGTGACAACCGGAAATTTTGTAACAATAAGTAATTGACGTTGGGAATTTTCTATGTTCGAAGATAATATTTGGATTATAAAGCTAAGTATTATTCGTGCGGACGCGTAAAAATCGTTATTGGATTGTAAATCGCGAAGCGCGGATTCGGAAACGTAATCGCCCCGAGCTCGTCGTAATTAAAATCTTAAACGTTGTTGTGTGCGATAATCGTAGTGCGGTATTAATTAATTTACCGTTGTTTTGGGAATTTAGTGGGTATTATTATTATTGGTTAATTTTGGTTAAGTAGTGTTAGTTTTTTATTCTAATTTGTCGTTAAGGAAATGGGAGAGATATTCTCTCAAAATATCTCTTCTGGACTCTTCTTCTCTCGCGTGACTATTGAAGGAAAGGTTGACCGAATGCCATTTGTCCCATTGAGCTAGACACCTAGCCTAAGTAATCATTTTCCTTGTCCACCACTCCTTTCCTGATTTCTTACACCTGACCATGATTGAAAGAGAAGATGCCACCTGTGAGTGCATTGTAATTATCCACCTCTTCGTCTACTCCTCTGTTTCATTTATCTGGGTATCACCGAAGGAAAATTTTACCAAATCGTAACTCCCTTCCTCACTTTTTACCTTCACCATCACTGATCCAGAATTTCCGAGAGAGCTTTAACCTTTTAGGTGTTCAAATTCTGCACAAGGTAAGTAAAAACTCTAGGTTTAAGCTAAGTAAATCTACTTAGCACTTTTAACTTGGTTGCTTGAGAAAGGTTATTTTGATGTGCAATAGTAAGGTTGTGATGATGGTTGAATCTGTTTTGCTGGTTCTGTGCACGTTCAAATTAATGTGATTTGTTTCCTTAAAGTATGGTGAAAATCGGCAAGCAAAAAGATTAAATCTGAACGTATAAGTGTTATCTTTGTGGTGATTGTTGGATTCTTCTTATTGGTTTATGTATGTTTAAACAGAATAGAAAATCGTTTTACTCAAAGTGATGATTATGTTTATTTTTGATACTCAAAGTGATGATTATGTTTATTTTTGAAACTGGGCAGATTTTAATCTCAAAATCTGATTCTGTATACTTTTTAAACTGCTCGGACTTTACCTTCAGACCTTACGTTCAGACTTTACCTTCATACTTTACCACTCAGACTTTACTTCAGAGTTTACCGCTCAGACTTTACTGCTCAGACTTTACCTTTCGAACTTTACATTCAGACTTTAGCCTTGTGAGTCTGAATTTGCTTCTAAATCTGAATGTGCTTTTGAGTCTGAACCCGCTTCTGAGTCTGAACCCCCTTTTGAGTCTGAATTCGCTTCTGAGTCTGAACTTGCTTCTGATGACTCGTATTTTCTTCTGATGACCGAATTTGCTTCTGAACCCGAATTTGCTTATGAGCTGAGTTTGCTTCTGAGTTTGAAATGTATTGCTTCATATTTAATTGCTCGGATGATGCATTTCATGGCTTTAAAGTACAAAACCATGATGGCTCGGTATGGGACGGGCCAAAGCGAATTTTTGCATACAAATACTTGGTTGTCATGACTTGCACGAGAATAATATTAATTCCGTCGCCCATTTAGTGGTGTGTGACGATGCCCCGTGTGTCGGGATGCCCCGTAGGTCGGGATGTCCCGGGGTGTTTCGGGATGCCTCGGGAGTCGAGATGCCCCGTTGGTCGGGATGCCTCGGGTGTGTGCCGGGATGCCTCGGAGTTGGGATGCCCCATTGGTCGGGATGCCCGGGTGTGTTCGGGAGGATGAAGTAATGAACCTAATCGCATGAGCATAAATGTTTTACATCATGCTTGCGTCTGAGTGAAAATATTATGATATGTTGCATTATTCAGATTTTGCGGCACATCCAGACGGAAAAGGTATAACTTGCATTCAAGTTCTATGCATATCGTTTGCTATGCATGCATATGTGTTTATGCCAGGTGAAGTGGTAAGCTGATTTTCCTAACTTAAAACTAGAGATTTCATTTACTGGGCTTCGGCTCATCCCATTATTTTTCAGACATGTAGGAATGGACAACCTGCTACCAATGCTTGCTGGTTTTTCCCTAAATACTATGAATGCCAGTACGTTGATATGCTTGTCCCGAGGGCGGATATAGTTTGTACTAGATGTATATCTACTATATGGGTTGATGCGAGATTTTGGTTAATATGAAGGCGACGACATCTACGACTCGTTGTAAAGTCTACTTTTGTGCGGGCCGTCTTTGGAGTAAATTGTAGCATGGAGATAGGCAACCTCGACCTACCCTGATGTTTGTTCTTTGTGATTTTGTGATGTATTGTCTGGACTTGTATTCTCACAAGTGTTGTTAATGAGAAGCAAAAGTATTTTGACAAAACTTGTTCAGACTTTGACTTCCGCTGGCCATTTTATTAATAATATTAATTGGTGCGTGTTGCGCGTGACGTTCTGGGGCGTCACACATTTACCATGAACCTTTTTTGTGACATAAAAAATCCCAAACTATGCACAGTGTGACACATTTACCTTAAACTTTTTCTTGTGACATAAAAACCCCAAACTTGTATCTATGTGACACATTTACCTTTGTCAATATTCCATTTAATGATTTTTCAGCCAAAACAACGTCATTTTTAGTTTACTTAAGCCACGCGGATGCCATGTCAACAATGTTTATTTTTTGGTATCCATGTAGGCAAATTTAACGGTTCTCATTGATGGAACTTTGACAGAAAATAAATGTGTTACACAAGTTCAAGTTTGGGATTTTTGGTGTTACAGAAAAAAAATTTAGGATAAATGTGTCACAATGGGTATAGGTTTTTTGATGGCTTTTGCCCAAAATAGAAAAAATACTTCTCAAAATGTTCATCCTGGCTGGATCTTTGCTCTTGTCGAAATTGAAGAAGTAGGCATTTCAAGGAAGTTGCTTACTTGAGATGAAAATTTTATATTTTCAAAACATACTTAACAAGGCTTATTAAGTGCCCCTGGGCCGTATATGACAATGTAACTTTTTCTCTATACAAACTCTGTGAAGATCAAGATATGTGCATATAATCATCTTCAATAACCTCTTATGGAGAAATATATCGTGATCTCAAGAATCTGCATAAAAAAATTAAAAATTCTTATTGCTTTAACCTTTTCTTTTTTTGGTTTTTTTCACATTTTCAGACCACCCACATTTTGTATCTGTCAAAGACAATGCAAGCTAATTGATAAAATAAATCTAGGAAAATGCTTACAATATCACCTAACTATAGTTTGTTCCTTGACCTTTGAGGGTTAAGATTCTATCCTCAAATTTTCAATTATTTTTTCATAATTCTTGTTGTTAATCCTCATTTGCACCACTCAATGGGAATTCCACTCATGTTGAAGAATTATGAGCTAAATGTGATGTGTCAATGATGGTCGAGGACCAAAATTGCTCAGAACCTATATCATTAAGGGAGGAAAACCTTATTCTTAAAGTCAAAGACTAAAGGATACTAAAAGTGGACAAAGTTTAAGAATGAATCATGACTAAAAGGTTTTATTGACATTTCTTATGCTATCAAGAGAATGACACATCAGCACATTTAATCTCAATGATAGATCTTCCTACTTTTCTTTCCTTTTCTCCCATTTTTTTGTGGTTTAATAATCAATTTGCTAATTATTGAGCTGAATGCGTAAGGGTGTTAGGTAAAAGAAATCTCAATTGGGGATATGGTGTAAGGTGAAGCAATTAATACATAATAGTTGGTCAGTAACTCGTTGACTTAAGCTTTTAAGTAAATATAAGTCTAACTGGATATGTTGATGTGTTAGGATCCCTATTTGCGATCTCTCTAAGTGAATATATCGGGCATCTACTACATCGTCTCAACAAATGGTATTAAAGCGGACAATTGATTGGTGGCTCACTTCTAATGTGTATTAGCGATGGCTGAAATATCTATAAAAAAAAAATTGCAGATGTGACCAAATCAAGGTGCTGGATGGTGTCCCCTTATTTCTTGCCAAGCTTGGTTGTAGAGCAGAGGAAATTGAGGTGGAGTCAATGATTTAAATATGAAGGTGGATTCACCGGATATGTTGATGGTTTCAAATTTGAACTCTTTATTGATAATCTCCCCAAATAGAATTATCGGGGTTCTACTGCTCCTCCCAATGTTAATATTAGGTTCAACTTGTCCGCTACGTAGGTTGTCACTAGCAACCATTGTTCTCTCCACCGGCTCTTTTACCTATAGCCACCATTTCCACTACTGGCACCTCCCTCTCCCTCTCCCTCCCCCCTCCTCTCTTTTTGGCCATTGTATGAGGTCAGAACCCGATAAAGGTTGCCTGTGCGCACTAACACACCCTGTATAGTATAGTAACTTATGCACTTTTTCATCATTGAGATAAGCACTCGTGGCGGATGTGCGTAGGGAGAGAGAGAGAGAGAGAGAGAGGTCAAAATAATAACAGCGATTAGTGATGGAGATTGAATTGTAGCAAAATCAGAGACAAAGTTCTAGATGTGTATGGAGTGCGTGGTGGTTGATAAAAGCGATTGGGGATTGAGATTGATGAGTGTCAGAATTGGAAACGGAGTTCAAGAGGTGGATATAGTGGGTGGTGGTTGTAGTTGGCTGCTTTTGGAGTTTGAAGAAAATAATTTGGATATGGGTCTTGCTTTACTCAATCCCCAGGGAAAGGAATGTATCTCTAATCATGCCTCTAATCAATGAATTATAAACATACTTAAGTAAAGTTTTAATGTAAATGATATCAATGACTTATAACCCACCAATCATAACCATGATTGTGTTGTAAATGCGTAACAGAAGCCTGATACCTTTGTCGAGGACCATCACCAAGAGGAAACTCAAGTCCGAGCCCATCAATATATCCAGTTGGACCCATCTTTATTTAAAAGCTTAAGCTAATGAATTATGGATCAACTAATATATGTTAACTGCTCCACACTATACCGACTCTATGATATAAGATTTTTCTAACACAACTCACACGTGTATCCCAACAATCTCCCTCTCACGTGTGAACTCAGTGTTATGTCTCTTTCCCTCAATCGAAGTATCCTTCTGCATCAAGATATCTCAGCTTGAATCTCCATCAACATTCGGCTTCATTCCTAGTCTCTTTCTCCGTACCAAACCATGAAGTCTACCATCAAGCCTGCATTGCTGCACCACAATGCCCATAGCTCACCAGACGCCTTCCTTAAGATATTCACTAAACGCTGAAACAAATTGAAAGCCCACCAATCTACCATCAACTATGATACCATTTGTTATGAACTCTTAGCAGAACCCCAATACCTTTGTTCGAGAAGACCGCCAAGACGAAACTCAAGTCCGAACCCATCAATATATCAAGTTGGACCCACTTTCACTAAAAAACTTAAGCCCATGATTTATGGCTCAGTTAGGATATACTCCACACCATATAATTATCTGATGTGAGACTAATCTAACACAACCCATATGTGTATTCTAACGAATGAAGGACATGGACCTTTGATTGGTTTTGTCCGTCACCTGTTATCGTTGTCCCATTCCTTTAACCTGTGGGTGACGCTTAGCTATAGCTGAGCAGCAGCCATCAAGACCCACGTCAAGCATTCACGAGTTTCTTGATTTCCAATTTGTAACCTAAAAATAAACTTTCAAAAAGACCCCTAAACGCTCCAAGAAAAACAAGAAAGCAAAAATCCGGCAAAACACTCGTCTCCTCCGTCTCCTCACTGATGCACCACTACCGCCTCGCGTCTTCACCGTCCCGTCATCGACACAGCTCTCGTTTGAGCCTTGCTAGCCGCTGTTCCCCCTTCTCTCTCTCTCTCTGGGTGTCTGAGCTGCGAGTCCGATCTGCCTTGCGACGTTTGGAGCTGGCATCATTGAGCCAAGGGACGGTGGCTAGGCTATGATGGCGGCAGGGACGAGAGTGCGATGGTGACCGGGTCGCGGCGGCGGAGTGGCGGAGGCGGATGTTAGCCTGGCAACCAGGAGAGAGAGAGAGAGAGATAGAGAGAGAGGTGCGTGAAATTAGATTCTCTGTTGACCAAGAGCACTCAATAAATGCTGGACACCTGTTCGGATAATAGGCTAATGATGTTGCTGGCCGACTGCAGCTAAACCTCACACATTCCCCATTCTAATCAAGCAAATTCGTGGAAAAAAACCGTGTGGAGTGCCCCGTACTTAGATGGTGTAGAAGCCAGCTTCTCAAAGGTCCTCTTCTCAGTATTCGACATCTCCTGCATCTAAATCCATAGCAAAAACTGTTTTAATGGATGATCCCTTTCTAGGTTTCTGTTTCCTGTAGAGCCCCAGAACCATACAACCGTTTTGTTCTGCATGAAAGAAACTCATGATGGGTCCTTATCTGCTATGACTTCAAATATTAGTACTTGTCCGCAACAAAAATCAACACCAGATGTAATCACAGTAATTTCAAAAGAAGAAGGCATAGTGATCACAGACGATTGAGATTGGATGTCAATGGTGATCTCTAGAGTACCAAGAAAGTTTACCTTCGAGAGCACCCAAATTTTATCTAACGGCACGCGGCGCAACACGACGTGCTACAGTTCCAACAATAGTCTATATTAGGGAATTAATTCTTTCTTCTTTAATGGAACCGTAAATCTGAGGTCGCAACCTCATACTCAAGGTCCCCAGTGGCTCAGGCGACCTCCTACTAGGGTCGCTTGAGATAGTCGCGACCACCGCTCAAGTCTCTCTGTCGTTTTCTAAATGTAGGGGCACTTTTATCGGTTCAGATTAAGTGGACATAACCAGAGAATGCCTTTATTCTTATGTCCCCCTTATGCTACTTTTTCCAAATTATGAGACCCCTAATTCCAAATATATCACGTACAGCTGGCCATGGAAGCATTTCTCGAGAAAAGATTGTACATATCATTGTTTCTTGTAATAATTTTCAAACTTATATTAATTACGATAGAACCTATCGAAAAAATAGATGAACGAGACGATACTATCACGTTACAGGACAAAACCATTAAAATGATGTACTTTCTTGCGCTTCTTGGGACCTCGATGATTCAAGAAAAGAAGGGCATCAGCCATTAAGGGTGCATTTGGTAACCATTTTGTTCCCGAAAATAATTTATGCTCAAAAATGTTTTTTTTTATTCCATTCCCGGAAATAATTTCTAAGCATTTGGAAGCACTTGATAACTGCCCAAAATTTCTATTCTTGGAACAAAAATGCGTTTGGTAACTACACAAAATTTCTTTTTATTAATAATATTTTAAATTTTTTAATATTTCTTTCTTTCTTTTTTCCTTTTTTTTCTTTTTTTTTTCTTCTCCTCCTTCCTTGGCCCATGGCTTAGTCGACAGCCACAGGCAAGGACCACCCTCGCCAGATCTGGTGAGGGTGGCCCTCGCCCAAGCCGTGAGGGTCCAGCCCTCACCCTTGCCGGCCATAGCCCAAGAAAAATGAAGAAGACCGGCCACAAAGAAGAAGAAGAAGAAAAAAAAATTTCTTTTCCATTTCTGATTCTTGTTCTCAGAATCAAGAATCAAATTTTTTTTTTATTCTTGATTTTGTTCTAAAACTGATTCTGGGAACAAATTTGTGCCCAGAAACAAAAAATTTACCAAACGAATTTCTGTTCTTCTCTTGTTCCCGGGAACAAAAGAATAGAAACATGTACTATTTGGCTGGTTACCAAATAGCCCCCAAATCACTCAAAAGAGGGCACATGGTACCCACAAAGATTTGACAGGATAAAGAGCGCATGGATATGCGATTTTCCACTATCCCCCATGCTGTCATTTCTTACAACAGAAGTGACCAGGCCAGGCTGGTCATGGGTTTCAATTAAGGGTTCAAAGCAAAGATTACTTATGTGTCTAATTCTCCTCCTCAAGTTACAAACCACAAAGTCTCCAATCGATCGCTCATCTTTGGTCCTCCGAAAGTTAAGCCCAGTCAGCTCATATCTCTCTCTCTCTCTCTCTCTCTCTCTCTCAAAGTCCCTTTATGAGCAAAAGAAACCATTCGAATTGGACCGAACTAACCGATTCTGTGTTGTTTCTGGGGAGCACCGATCTGGTTCCCGATTCTATGCAATTGAAACCGGTAAATTTTGGTACTGTTTCCAATTCTAGGTTGAACCTGACTAGTCGGATTTTCTTTAATTTATATTTTTATTTCTTATAAATGTGAAAAATCCCTAATATCGTTATAGCTCTTTTACGTATCTTTAATTTTCCCAATTCTAAAACAAAACCCTAATCCCTCTTGCTCACGCCTCCTCCTCCTCCTCCTCCGTTGATCTTCTTGCCCTCACTTGCCCCACTCCAACGAGGAGGACTCATTCGCTTCCATCACTAATCGAACGCGTTGATACTATCTACATTCCTTCTTCCCCAATTGAATCTTGAAACAGAGAGAGAGGGAGGCTCGAGAGACGAAGCTGAGACCGAGTTTCAGCTTCGCGAGAGATGGGGCTGACATCGAGAACTACATGGAAGGACGGCGAGCAAGCTCGGAGTGGAGTGAGCATGGCAATGCGATCGTGTGGAAGTGGTGCTCTCAATGAGTGAAGAAGAAGAAGAAGTTCTATATATGTCTCTTCATTACTAAGAAACGATTGGATTGCAAATTTATTTTTGTTATCCTCGTTTAGTTCATCAAATTTTTTACTTCGGTAAATACCTATACAATCAAGATAAAAGAGACAGTCCTGACTAAATCATAGGACAAAACTATCCACTATATCTATTCCTCGATCTAATGTCTTCGCTTCTTATCTATAGATAACGGGAGAGAGAACTAACGATTTTTTTTTATAATTGAATAGTAGCTAGATATGAAGTCTAGAGTATCAGTGAGACGAAACTGATAGCTAAGGATAGAGGGGGAGAAAGTATGCAAAGACCAGCACATGAAGTTCTGCAGAAAAGGGAGAGAATAATTTCAGTTAAGAGAACCATCACAACTGCGCTATAATTCCACTACAAGAAACATACCGTGTTACACAATTATGCTTGTCTACCTCTCTCTACATACATGGGCATATGTTTGCTTGGTTTTTACGCTCTTATCTTCTTGGCTAAATACTATGATCTTATCTGACTGTAGAATGGCGTAGCTAGAAATGGCATTGATTAAGTCTGGAGTCTGGTTTGTGCATTTTCTAGGAGATGAATTAAACTCGAGACCTTCGAATCTCGACACCCAATCCTGTGCGCTTTTACCGTTTGAACAAACCCTAACCGATTTCAACCCCACAAGTCTTCGATTCTATGCAGGAAGGTGACATGTTGGACGGTTTATGAATAGATATTGTTCTCTCCAATCTCATGTATGGTGAAAATGCTGTGCTTGTGGTATGTAGGGTCAGCATTTGAATGTGAAAACGTCTAAGAAAGAATCTCGCACACTATCTGGTCCTTTGGGAAATTTGATTTGCGAACGTCCTCTCTTTCCAGGTCTGAATTCTCTCTTGAAGCCGCAATATGCACAGTGCATGGGAGTTGATATTTATTAGGGTTAATAGCACGAAAAACCCCAAACTGGTACATCTATGATAATTTTATCATGAACTTTTTTTTTATCACGAAAAACCCCACATTGGTACGCTTGTAACAATTTTACTCCGAACTAATTTTTTTATCATCAAAAATCCCAAACTAGTATACTTGTAACAAATTTACTCTCCGTTAGTTTCCGTTAAATTTTACTGTTAATTGCTAACTTTGATGACACGTGGTAGTTGAGGAGTGTACCAGTTTGGGGTTTTACCCCTCTGTTTATCACAAGTTTACCAATTTGTGATTTTCGTGATATTAGTCCAATTTAACGGACACTAACGGAGGGTCAATTTGTCCCAAATGTACCAGTTTGAGGTTTTTAGTGTTTAAAAATTAGTTTTGGATAAAATTATCACAGATTTACCAGTTTGGAATTTTTGGTGGTCAAAAAATTAATTCGGCGTAAAATCGTCACAAGTGTATCAGTGTGGAGTTTTGGTAGTCAAAAAAATAATTCTAGGTAAATTTATCACAGGCGTACCAATTTGGGGTTTTTTTTATGTTATTAACCCTATTTATTATGTTAACAAAAATGGACAAAGCCAAGGTGGGGTCCCTTCCTCCCATAAAATAGCCAGTGACCCACCATCCCCTCAAATCGGAAGCCCCTTTTCCTGGGTAGCATCTAATGATTTATTTATGTCTCGCTTTTCTTCACTTTATTATCCTGAAAAAAGCCACTGCACAGGAACTATGCTGACCTAGCCACATATAATGTCCATAATATGTCTCTGAAAAAGAATGTGAGTGTTTCTGTTGTTTCTGTTGTTGCTATTGTTCTTGTTGAGTTGGTGCGGGCATATATATTTTTTTTTTATGGAGAACAGCCCTAGCTCCTCGAGAAATGACCGGAAATTGATCGAGAGAAACCGGCGACATCAGATGAAGGCCCTCTATTCCCAGCTCAATTCTCTTGTTCCCCATCCTAGCTCAACGGTCTCTCTCTCGCTCTCTCTCGGCTGAGCTCTCGCCTCTACTGCACGTTTTACTTTTTAGGAAATTTTCCTTTGTTTTTTGTTAGGAAATGTTCATATTTTCCGAATCTTCATGCCGTTTTCTTATATATTGAATATTCTTGATTACAAGTTTTTTAATGCATTTTCATTTCTTGTAATATTTATACTATCAGTATGAAGTAAGATTCGACGTCCATGAAGCACCATTAATTTTTCATGAAAATATCCGTAAGATTGAGATCACAACTGAATTTTTTGGAATTAATTTATCATCTCTCAGATGAACAATCAGGCAGGGAAGGTTAAAAATATGCTATGAGCACATCGAAACTGGAAAAATTCGCACCAACCAAACTCTTCCAACCCACTTCTTTTTTTTTTGTATCGAAGGAGGTGACATCTCTTCCAGATCAACTTCATGAAGCGACTAAATACATCAAGCAGCTACAGATTAACTTGGAGAAGATGACTGAAAAGAAGGAGAGCTTGTTAGGGATGGAAAAGCAGAATGCAAGCATGGACTGTGGGATGAATGCAGCACCAGCAATTGAGATTCACCAAAATGGTTCGGCTTTACACGTTGTTCTCATTACTGGGTTGGATCATCAGTTCATGTTCAATCGCGTCATCGGACTGCTTCACGAAGAAAGGGTCGAGATCTTAAACGCGAGCTTTTCCGTCCTGGATGACACAACATTCCACTCGATCCATTGCGAGGTACGCACATAAGTTTGTTCTCAAAAACATGATTATGTCCAAGGCATTTGAGAAAGTTGTTGCAAAAATTTTAATGATTTTTGAGCATTTTATTACGTTGTGAATGTAGGTTGGGGACTGTGCACCGAGTCTTGATTCCGCAAGAATATCTGAGAGATTAAGGAAATGTGTCCAAGATAATGCACAGAGATGATTTTTTCAGACACTTGATTTCTGAAGAGACTATTGTCCCTTGGTAACAATTTCTATGATTAATAAGCACTTGATTCCTGTTAACAGTTAGAGCCTCAACTCTCAGCACCATTTTCTAATTTCCTATGATCAATAATATGAAAATTGCGTGCCAAAATGAAAGACTCGTATTATTTTTCAGACACTCATTTTCTGAAGAGACTATTGGCCCTTGGTAATAATTTTGAGTTTGAGTTTGATGAAGAAAATCACTGTGTCTTGATGAACAACTGAAAGAAAGAAAAAGACAAATTATGCACATTATCATCTGATCCTTGTGACAATATATATAGTTATATACATGGAAAGATGTATAACCAAATGCAAGGCATTAATTTCATTTATTTTCTTTCTCTGAGATGTACCAGAAGAAGTATAATCCCGCTCAAAGAACCAAGATTCAGGAAGGTTGCTGGATAGATATACATATATTTGTGCCATGAACTTGAAAACTTACATAATTTCGATTCATTGAATCAGTCCCGATATGTTTGATGTTAGCTGTGGGTCATTCACTTTAACTCTGAGAAAGAAAATGCGAACAGACTTGTAGCAAAAGCTCAATTTCTATTAGGGATTACAAAGTAAACCGCCCCGATAGGACAATAATACAGTGAAAGCTGAACTATATCCATCAAGGAAAATAAAGTGGCACGTCTTTATAGCAACAGGGAACGGAGTGGAGCAGCATGGCCACATATAGAACTATGTTAATTTAGGCTAAGAGAGTCTTACCTCAACTTGCTTGTGTATGAACTATTACTGAAACAACACTACCAATTTGGCTTAAATTAGAGAATATTTCTGCGATTAGGAATGTCAATTTATGGAAATATAAGAAGATAATTAAGTTCAAGAGCAACACAAGGCAAGAAAACAAGATAAAGATTCATAATAAACCAACTGCTTTTGGATGTCATTATGTCATATTACAACGAATATTGCTCAAGGGTCGGCTCAGTCTTAATTGGGACGTAGTCAAAGTCCTAGTAGTCTCGTGCAACTATTTGGAAGCTTTTAAGTTAAATGGAAAATCCATAACATAGTTATAAATAGGAAAATAGTTGCCAGAATTGTTGGTATTCACCTTATGAGTTAATTTTCTTCGAGAGGCAAAAATATAAATGCGTAACTGTAACAAGACGGCATGTTTAATATGATAGAAATTATTTTAGTGATAGTTATACCTAATACGATGGTCAAAGAGTGTTTAAAAGTGCAATGCACTGTACCACTAGCCTTCATATGCATTGATGTTAACTATCTTTGTGTTTCGACCAAAAAAAAAACTATCTTTGGGGTACGGTTGAGTCTGACGTTCTGAGAGAAGTGTATGAGATTGTTGAATATATGAGGGCAGACGGTCAAAAGATAATAATAATAGTAGGAAAGTACCTGCCAATGTACGATTCTATGCATGATGAAAGATGAAATGTGTTGACTTTCGTATCAACTTTTTGAAAATGAACGAAAGATTGTAGAATACCCTTCTTGAAACTACGCACCTTCAGGAATGTTGAGGTTGCTGTTGTATTTCCTACACCGAAGATGTACAAAGACATCAGTTTCCTGTATAGCTGAGTAAAATTCTTCAGTTCACGAAATTAATTGTGTTTTTTGTAGTGGATGAGGTACCGTCAGTAAAAACCCAGAAAGGAGAAGTTATGCATTGGAACAGAAGGTGTTCTGTCATCTGCTTCTTTTATAATAGTTGTGTTGCCAAATCAGATGATATGATCATGGACCGCAGCCCTGAAACCTCTCTTGTTGGGTGTAACCCTAAAATTTTGTTAAGATGTAGAGTTTTCCTTGTTGTAACAGTGCTCTGTATAAGTGTTGATCTTCAGCTCTGATTGTTGTTTGGATAACTTCAGCCTTTGTGAAAAATAAATTTTCGGTGATTAGGTTTACATGAACTGAAAATTAAAAAAGAAAGATAGATGCTGCATTTAAATTTCATGTAGTTTGATGTAGTTATGCATAAAAATACGGTAAGCACTGACCATTTCATCTATGAGAACCAAGTCGACAGTAATCGCTTGATTGTTCGTGCGTGGAGTAGTGGAAATCCACATTCTACTGATTCGAACCCAGAATTTCCATTGCTTTGGCTCGAATGTGAGATCCCATATCAGTTGGTAGTTCATGAAGATGATCTTCCACTGTCAGATTTAGTCTTACTGGGAATTGTCTTCTTTCTAATATGAATGGCCATTTAATTTCTTTAACCTCGGAAGATGATTCGAGGGATATAAACTTTTGTTCGAATATGATTGCCATTGATAATGGAAGACTCAATAATTCTCGCAGCAAGTGGAGTAATAATCAATCTTGTCCCATAGCGAAGACAACAGCATTATTGGTGTGCATATCTTTAAGTTTAACTCATGATTTGGAACCCCGTTCAATTTTCTGAGGATTTAAAAACTCAGAAGGATAAAACAATCCATCATCCGCTGCATTTTTCGAAGTTCTGCTGGATTAGGAGTGAGCAACACGGACCAATTGAATCGGAAATTACTCGGACCGAACTAGATCGATCAGTTCGGGGCACTTCTCGAGGACGTCGGTTCAATTATTGGTTTCCTAAAATTGAAATCGGTGATTTCACTACAAAAAAACATGATTTTTGCGACGGAAATTTGCAACGGGGAATTTTTCGTCGCTAATTTGCGACAAACTTTGCGACGGATTTAGAAATCCGTTGCAAATTAGCGATGAAAATAATCCGTCGCAAATTTGCGACGGAATTATTTTTCCGTGGCAAAATTCGTCGCAAATTTGCGACGGAAAGTTGGTCGTCGCTAATTCCGTCACAAATTAGCGACGACTAATTTTTCGTCGCAAATTTGCGACGGATTTATTTTCCGTCGCAATTTTGTGCAACGAAATGTGCCCTTGTGCGACGAAAGTAGCGATGAATATTTTATCCGTCGCAATTTGCGGCAGATTTTGCGACGAAAATGGATTCGTCGCTAATTTGTGACGGAAAATTAATTTCGTCATATGCACCCCACCCGTCAATTTCACTCTCTCAGTAGTGATTCCTCACGTCGCCCGCTTTTCTCCCGCCTTCTCCCTTTTTCGTTTCTCTCAATAATCCGTGCGCACAGAAATCAATCTCGATAAAGCTTTTCCAGCGGTAAGTATCGTAGCTAATTTCGTGACTAAACATGCGACTAATACGGTCATGTCCTTTCTATTCATCGCTGGATGCGAATTTTTTTTTTATTGACTTTTTTTTTCTTTTTTTGTTGTAAATTGGTGGCCGGTCGCCGGACCGGCCACCGGCAAGACTCTCGCCGGCCATCGGCCTCCCCATGGCGGTCGACCTCGCCGTCGCCCGGATGCGGGCGACGGCGAGTCGAGCGGCGGCCATGGCGAGCCGCGCGGCCTCCCGAGATCCGGGCGAGGCCGAGCGACCTCGACCCATGGCGGCGAGGCCGCGCGGCACAGCCATGGCCGCCCGGTCGACCTCGCCGGCGTCGGCCGGTCGCCGGACCGGCGACCATGGCCAAGCCGCTCGGCCTCGCCGGGCGTCGGCCCGGTCGACGGACCGGCGGCCATGGCAGGCCGCTCGGCCTCGCCGGCGCTAGCCGGTGCCGGTTGCCGGACCGGCGACCGGAGAAAAATATAAGAAAAAAAAATTTAAAAAAATTCGGATAAAATAAAAAAATTATTTAAAAATGAATGTTAAGTGATTTTGCTTTTATTTAGGTACGTGTCCAATTGAAGGTCTCGCAATCCAAGTGAACGTTGCAATTCTCTTCAAATTGACCACTTTCTGCTACCAAGATTTCAATCAAATATCCGGGTAAGTCTTCTTTACATGGTAATTTTTTCAATTTTTCAATTTCAAAGTAATTGTTGCGTGAAAAACAAAATTTTAATTTTCATAATTTTATGGTTTTAATTAAGAACAGTAGATATGATATTTTAAATATTTTACGAGATTTTTTTATTTTAATACAGACACAATGCAAAGAGACAGGGCTTGGATGTATAATAAGAACTTACCTGGACGTCAAGGATTGACCGATGAGTTTCGTACTGGGTTGGAATTATTTTTAGACTTTGCTAGTAGTAAATATGAGTTCATGGATGGAAATAAGTTAAGGTGTCCGTGTAGAAAGTGCAGTAATGGTAAATTTCATGTGTGTGATACAGTTAGAGAACATCTTTGTAGATTTGGGTTTACTCCGAATTATTATAATTGGACTTGCCATGGTGAACCATTTATATCTGATGAAGGATATCGAAGAAGTGACCAATTTTTAGTTAGGGAAGAATGTAGCTATTATGATCAATTGAACCTATACGAGAAGATGGTGATTGATGCAGCTGGTCAGAATTTTGTTTCAGATTCGAACCATGCAAGTACTAGTTTTACTCCTACACTTGAACAAGTGGGTACTAGTCATGCATCACAATTGGAAGAGATAGGAGTAACGGGTTTTGATGAGAATATGTGTAATGGAGCTTTTTCATCTAATCAGTTCTGGGAAGTGTTGAAAGCAGCAGATGAACCTTTATGGTCAAATTGTGACAACCACACTAAGTTATCAGTGACAGCAAGACTGTTAAATATCAAGGCAGAGCATAATGTGTCGCAAGATTGCTTCAACTCTTTTGTTGAAGTAATGCGGGAAACAATGCCTCGTGATAACAGCATGCCAAGTGATTTTTACGATATGAAAAAGCTAGTGGATAACTTAGGTCTTCCGGTTGTAAGGATTGATGTATGTAGTAGGGGTTGTATGTTATATTGGAGAGATGATGAAAATGCAGAATCTTGCAAATTCTGTAGCCAACCTAGGTACAAGATTAACAGGAAGCAGGGTCGTAATCAGAAGCATAGACCATGCAAGCAAATGTTTTATCTGCCCTTAATCCCCAAATTGCAAAGGCTTTATGCGTCTCAAGCCACTGCTGAACATATGACTTAGCATGCAAATCATGAAACAGAAGAGGGTCTAATGTGTCATCCTTCAGATGCAGAGGCATGGAAACATTTTGATAGAACGTACCCTGAGTTTGCGATAGAGCCTCGAAACATCAGGTTAGGTCTCTGTGCTGATGGATTTGCCCAATTTGGGAAATCAGGAAAAAGTTATTCATATTGGCCAGTTATCTTAACGCCGTATAATCTTCCACCTGGTATGTGCATAAAGACACCTTATATGTTTTTGACATTGATTGTGACTGGCCCGCAAAATCCGAAAAAGTTAATAGATGTTTATATACAACCATTGATTAAAGAGTTACAACAGCTATGGGAGGAAGGTGTCATTACATATGATGTTTCTACCGATCAAACATTTGTAATGAAGGCTGCTCTTCTTTGGACGATAAATGACTTTCCAGCTTACGGAATGTTATCTGGATGGAGTATAGCTGGGATCTTAGGATGTCCGATATGTTTGGAGAGATCAAAGTCATTTAGATTAAAACATGGAAAGAAGCCCAGCTATTTTGACTGTCGCAGATAATTTTTACCGATAAATCATACATTCAGAAGGAATAAAAAAGAGTTCATCAAGAATATGACCGAAAGAACACGTCCACCATTGAGGTTGACTGGCGATCAAATTTGGGAGCGGGTGCAGGACTTTCCAACTGTTGTTCAGAACCCTCACGGTTTGTGATTTGCGTACGAAAGTACACATAAGTGGACAAAACGCAGTATATTTTGGGATCTACCGTATTGAAAGGCCCATCTTATTCATCATAATCTTGACGTCATGCACATAGAAAAGAATGTTTTCGACAATGTCATAAATACTGTGATGGATGTCACCGGAAAAACAAAAGACAACTTGAACGCAAAAAAAGATATGAGAGATATTTGTGATCGGCCAACACTAGATGTGGATGCAAGCAGCAGGGGACCAAAACCAAAAGCAGTTTATACATTGGATAGGGAGCAGAGGCGAGTTGTTTGTCAATGGTTGAAATCTATGCGGTTTCCTGATGAATATGCTTCGAACCTCGGGAGATGTGTTGATTTGAATGAATGCAAGTTGACAGGTTTGAAGAGTCATGATTGTCACATATTGATGGAAAAACTAATTCCAATAGCTTTCAAGGAAGTTCTACTGAACTTTGTATGGGGCGCCATTACAGAGTTAAGCAATTTCCTGCATGCTATTTGCTCGACAATGTTAAAAGCATCGCACATGGAGAAACTGGAGAGAGATATTCCAATTATTCTTTGCAACTTAGAAAGGATATTTCATCCATCGTTTTTTAATTCGATGGAGCATCTCTTAGTTCACTTGCCTTATGAGGCCAAAGTTGCAGGTCCCGTCCAATTTCGATGGATATATCCATTTGAGAGGTAATTTTTTTTTAAAATAAAGTTAAAATTACTTTATTATATATTATGTTCCGATAAGTTTCTTTCTATTGGAACTAGATTCTTATATCATTTGAAGAAAAAAGTGAAGAATAAGGCATGTGTTGAAGCTTTAATTTGTAATGCATATATTGTGGAAGAAGTGACAACATTTGCGTCATACTATTTTGAGCCGCACGTGCAGTGCAAGAGGCGGAGAGCAGGCAGAAATGATGAGGGCCCCAGTGATCCCAATTGCAAAGCATTCTCTATCTTCAATTATCTGGGTCGACCAAGCGGCGCATGTCAGTTTCGTTACTTAAGAGGCGAAGAATTGCATGCAGCCCATACATATATTTTACTAAACTGCCCAGAAGTCGAGCCATACTTCGTGTAAGTGTAAATTTGCAAATATATGTATTGTGTGTCAAATATAAATGGTATTTATTACTAGGATTTTTCAAACTTCAATGTGTGGACTACCACCAAATGAGTTTGACCGTTTATGCGATGAACAATTTGCAGCATGGTTCA